CTGCGGCTACAGGCATGCACCACCACACCCAGCTAATTATTTGAATTTTTAGTAGAGATGGGGTTTCACTATGTTGCCCAGCTTGGTCTCAGACACCTGAGCTCAGGCAGTCCACCCACCTCGGCCTCCCAAAGTGCTAGGAATACAGGAGTGAGCCACCATGCTAGGCCTCTAATTACATTTTAATAGCTACATTCTGGGTAGATTAGCATTTAAAAGTAAGTCCCCAGAAGCGAAAAACTTTTAGCAAACTCTAAAAAAGGAAGATGCACAACGCATGTACATAACCAGAGAGTAGCAAAGAATCAAATGTGTCTAACAATTATTTTGAATTTCTGACCCTTGTTATTCTGCTAAAAATTGATATTTGGATTAAAAATGAGGGATGTCATTTACTTAACAGGCAATACTCACAAAATTGATCTCTTTTGGTCCAGAATTACTTAAAAGTATTCCAAGGCCAGAATACAAAAAATATATTCCAGAATGCTATTAAATTACACAAATAATATAGCTTATCAAGTACGAATTTAAAGCCAAAAAACCCTTAACAGGCAGAATAAGTATTAAAAAGGAAATAAAAGTAATAAAGTAATAAAATTATCCAAGTGATGGGATTGTCAGTGAAACTATTTTTAAAAAGACATGAACAAAAGTATCTAAAGGATAATCCAAAATAAAAAACACTTGAGAAAAATAGTGATTTAAAAGTTTAGAAACGGATAAGAGGATAACTACAACAAGATAAAGGAAGACTAAGATCATTTTCATTTACAGTTTACATGGTATAATGCAATTAAACTATTTAAAACATGATGAATTTCACCAATCTCTTTACAGGCTAGGTAATTTTTAGGTGTCAGTGACATTTCCCTAATAATCTTCTTGTGACTTAGTGCATGACAGTACATTAGAGATTCTAAAGCAAAGAGCATACTAATTTTTTGTTGTGGTTGTGGATTTTGTCTTGCCTGAGACTGAAGCAAATGTATGTTATTTCAATTAGCTTTGTTTCTTTGACTTGAGAGCTCATTTACTGATGTTTTACAGCAAACCTGCTTTTTCTTTTGGTAGTATCCTTAGGGATAAGGAAGATGACTCATTACCCACTTATACTGATCACTCCCAGAGACGTTTAGGTTTTCTTCTTTTCTTCTAAATAGGTTTTTTTTTTTTAATGTTCTGAAAATTCCAGGTGTCCTTTTATTGTTTAGAGTAATTACCTCTGAATTTAGGAAAAAAAAATTTGTTATGATGCTGCCAGATATCATTAACACAAAGTTGTTTTGTTAGAAAACATGAGTATATAAGAGAACATTGGCTGGGTACAGTGGCTCATGCCCGTTATCCCAGCACTTTGGGAGATGGAGGTGGGTTCAGGAGTTCAAAACCAGCCTGGCCAACATGGTGAAACCCCATCTACCAAAAATACAAAAATTAGCTGGGTGCGGTGGTGGGCGCCCGTAATCCTAGCTACGTGGGAGGCTGAGGCAGGAGCTTGAGGCTTGAGCTCAGGAGGCAGAGGTTGCAGTAAGCAGAGGTCGTGCCCTCTAGCCTGGGTGACAGAGACTCTGAATCAAAAAAACCCAAAAAAACCCCAAAACAAAACAAAGATTATTGTTTTCATGCATTTTAGAGATGTGATAATTAAACAGCTTAAGTTTCTTTTTGCTTGTTGTGGTTAAAAGCCTTAATCTTCGATCTGCATTAAATTTTTGTTACTTTTATCAAAAGAAATCATTGCTTCTAAAATTATTTTATAATCTTTAGATTAAATCAAATGTTAGACAAAAGCCAAAAGGTATAATGTTAAACCTCCTATTTCTTTGATTAAAAAGTATCTTCTGAAACTGACTGCTTTACAAAGATTAGTTTGCTAAATGGACTGATTTTTGCAAAACATATTACAGTTAGTAAGAAGATAACATCACAATTAAACTTTATAAGCATATCCCTCCCATGTCACATGAAGTCATCAAGGGCAATTTAACCAGTGTCACCAGATTTTAAATGTATATTGATGTATCAGTACAACTAGCTATGCCTCTCATTAACACTTTATACAATCATATATCACAAAACCAAATTCTGCTTATAATTCAGTACTTTAGAAGTTTAACCACAAAGTAAGATTAACTTTAAAGGCAATAATTTTTGATCAGGCATAGTGGCTCACACCTGTAATCCCAGCACTTTGGGAGGCTGAGGTGGGTGGATTACGTGAGGTCAGGAGTTCAAGACCAGCCTGGCTAACACAGCAAAATGCCATCGCTACCAAAAATACAAAAATTAGCCGGGTGTGGTGTCATGCACCTGTAGTCCCAGCTACTCAGGAGGCTGAGGTAGGAAAATCTCTTGAACTCAGGAGGTGGAGGTTGCAGTGAGCTGAGATCACACCATTGCACTCCAGCCTAGACAACAAAGCCAGACTCCGTCTCAAAATAAGAAAAAAAATTTTCTTTTTTTGCTGTATACATCTAAAAACTGAGAAAGGTATATTTTACCAGTCATTTAATCATTTCTAAATTTGTAAAATTAATGCAAAGACTTTTGTTATGGACTACCAAATACCAACTATTTACAACAAAATAGAAAATCCTAATGGGAGAGGCTTCTTATTTTTCAAGTTTATGAAAATGGAGGAATGGTTGTATGTATTTAGGGTTAAACCGAAGTCAGCTAATTTGCTTACTGTATTCAAATGTCTACTGCCTTTAATAAATATGGATTTTTCAAAACAGGCTAATTTGGATTAAGTGCTTTCACGCTGACATTATGTTAATTATTAGGTCCCAAAATTCTCTTTAAAGATTTCTCTATCACAGAATTAATCACAAATATCCTAAAAATTGATACCCTCTTCTTTTAAAAAAAGGTCTAAGAAACCTTTTCCTCCTTTAGTTCTTCTTAGTAAATGTCTTGTTACCCTTTTATTTGAGACAGGGCCTCACTTTGTTGCCCAGGCTAGAGTGCAGTGGTATGATCATGGCTCTTTGCAGCTTTGATCTCCCAGGCTTAAGCAATCCTCCCACCTCAGTCTCCTTAGTAGTTGGGATTACAAGTGTGCAGCACCATACCTGGCTAATTTTTGATTTTTTTGTAGAGATAGGGTCTCACTATGTCACCCAGGCTGGTCTTGAACCCCCCTGGGTTCAAGTGATCCTCCCTCCCACCTCAGCCTCCCAAAGTGCTACGATTACAGATGTGAATCACTGTGCCCAGCCTTGTTATCCTTTTCAAAATCGGGTTTATTGATTATTTCAATAGCCAAATTTTTTGCTGTGTTCTAGTTTTCTGTAAAACTTAAGAATTTTTTTTTTTTTTTAGATGGAGTCTTGCTCTGTCACCCAAGCTGGAGTGCAGTGGTGCAATCTTGTTTAACAGCAGCCTCTGCCTCCCAGGTTTCAGTAATTGTCCTGCTTCAGCCTCCAGGGTAGCTGAGATTATAGGCACATGCCACCACGCCTGGCTACGTTTTGTATTTTTAGTAGAGATGGGGTTTCACCATGTTGGCCAGACTGGTCTCAAACTCCTGACCTCAGGGGATCTGCCTACCTTGGCCTCCCAAAGTGCTAGGATTACAGGTATGAGCCACGGCACCTGGCCAAAACCTAAGAATTTTACATTACTGCTATGGAAATAATTAAAACATCACAAACTTCTGTTATACTATTTAACAATTCTTTTTTAAATCACAGTACAACTGGCTATCAAGAGTTGGTTTCTAAAACCACAAGTAATTTATACTTTTCCATAGAGTCAAAGCATACTAATTTATATTAGTCATTCCAAATATTCTCTACAAACTTAATTCTTGTTTGCTTACCATAGGAAAACACTGTTTTACTATGCATCTTTTAAAATAACTTCTGAAATCATAGCTTTTTATTTTAAAACAATCTTTGTCTAGCATTGCACATTTTAATGTAGATTAAAATTGGACTGAATCAGTCTGTCTACCCAAATGTGTATTAAAGAGAACACACTCTTTCATTGATGAATTCGGTAAATAATGACATTATAAGGCTAAATCACTTTTTAAATTATCTTTTAAGTTGAATAAGTGGGTAGAAAAAGTATATATATATTTGGATGTATTTAAGTTATTAAATGAAATGTTATATAATTACAAAAATTAGTGGTACTATCTCACTAAAACACAAAGCTGAAAGTGACAATGGAAAATGTCAGGATATACTAGAACATTTAGATGTATTAACAGAAAAGTTGTTCCCATATTTATTCCCAGGAAGTTTGAGGCATAGTTCCTAACCAAGGGAGTGGATGTTTTAACTCAAAAGCTCTAAAATCCCTACTTGTATTGTTATATATTTGCTTTCATTATCTTCATGCTTTTCCTGAAATGAATCTATACATTCAACATAAAAATAAAAAGCATCCATGTTATTAAAAATTGTATATCATCAACTATTGGATATAACGATTTCATTTTAAGAGAATTAACAAAGTTTAAAGATTAGAAGAGTCTAAAAATATATTGTTTACATGATTTTTTAATGCAAAAAAAGAGATTCCTCTCTTCAAAAGACTAAATAAAACTCACTGCAAAATGCACTACTCCGTACTCTCCATTAAGTGCAGGCTACATTGTAGAAACAAAAGTCTCTCGTAGAGAACTAGTTGTGAGAAATGACTATCCCTAAAGATATTATACTCTCAATTTTTACTACTTAATTGTTTCTAACAAAGATTTCGTTTTGGGAGAAAATGAGCCTTTTAAAATTTTAACCTAGGTCAATCTAGTTTACTGGCATTAAGGACATAAGGGCTCATATACTTGTGTCTATGCTTCTCTCTCTTGCAGGTTGAAACATCCCTTTCAGTCTGTTCCCATACTTAAATAGTTTCAGGTCTCTGGACAGAAATTAATGTGGACAAGTTGATGATGAAGCACAGATTAAGTCCTTGAAATACATCTTAAGTTTACTATCCCTTTTCCCATTTAATTTGTTTAAGAAGCACCAAATCTGGAGTCAAGGTTTCAAAAGGTAATGTAACAGCAAGAACTACAATTTAATCACATAACACTATGTAACATTCTATATTTTTGCCTGTTGATATGTAACATAGTTAAGTTTATTACAAACATTATTTCTTAAGACTTATTGTATAAGTGCTCCTTTTCAAGTATTACCACTTAATAGTGTTTATCTACAATGTAACATTAGCTAAATCAACGATAAATGTATATAATGCAATACACTGTGCCACTTCTCCCTACCCTATTAAGGTATATAATATTAACAAAATCAAGAAAAAAACAAGACAACTATTATAACTGAAACAAGACTATGAACATCACAGATGGATGTCTGAGTAGATAAACAGCATTTCCCCTTAACATGAAGGTCATTTTGTCAAAGAGACTCCTGTATCTTTAGGCTAGCATTGTTTTTAGCAGCAGCTAGTCTTCAGGACAAGATCAAAAATTTCAAGCGAAAAAGACAATGAATTACTCTGAGAAAACAAACAACAATCCACATTACTAATAAAAAAAAACTGCTGGTGTCACCTTAACATAAAATTGGGTGTGCTCCCTTTCAACATGTGATTTAGTTCATTTATGTGATGACAGCAAAGCTTTGGATTTCTGTGGTACATCAATGAGATGGACTAATTTTTTAAGAAACCTATTTAATACTTAAATTGTAACAATACAATAACTAGAAAAAAGTCAGTGCCTCCGGGGCTTTAAACCCCATCAATTTCCATTTGTTTTTCAAAATAAAGATGCAATTAAATCTATGCTTCTGCAGCAATAGTGCAATAAAGTATCCTTTCCTGAATAAAGGAATTGAGGTTTATCCCAGTAGAAGCTTTAAATAAGGTAGACTGTTGCCAACTATGTATTAATCCTACATGTTTGAAGTAACATGTATCCGGAAAGCTTAAATTGTCTTACAGATCTAATTCGGCTAAAGCTTCATATAAGCAGCAATGGAAATGAACAGAAGTGTACTCAATGTAAAACGCTTTTCAAAACTACTCCAAAAAAACAAATGACAAAAAGTAGTTAAGAACAACTGAACATCTGTTGTGTGTACCAGGTGTAAAGGATGGACCCAGTGGTTACTTGCACTGTTTGAATTATGTGAAGGTAAAATTAAGACTTAGTCCACTTCCATCTCTCCAGAGGATTTAGTATGCTGTGAGCTGTCTTTTGTTGAATCTGACTTAGTTTCAGTTCCACTCTGTCCATCCATTGGGCCATTGTGTTCACTGTTAGCATTTGCTTTGTTTTCAGGAACTTCTACTTTTGGTTTGGGCTTGTAAATGATGGGGTTACAGAAATTATCCAGTTCCTAAAGACATGAAGAAATTGATCATATTAAAAAGATTACAGAACATGTTACCATTAACTTTCTAACCACCATATTAACTTTCTAAATTTCCACTTAATTCCCCATTTCTGAATTTGTGTTAGCTCAGCTAGATAGCCAACTGTTTTCTTCAAATGCCTCATGAAAGATTCACCTTCTCTGTTAGTACATGTCTGTGGCAGTCAAAAATTACTGAATCAATTTTTTGTACGTAACCTTTCTAAAACCTGTTTCTTTACAATTTAAATACAGTTTACTTTGGTGGAAATAATTTTTAATACTTTAAATTATGTCTAAAGCTTTGCTATGAGAATTACATCAAATAACACCTATTTCATAAATTGAAAATTTTCAACATTTACATAAAAACAATTCTAATAAATGAAATCATACAAATACATACACAAGCAACTTTATTTTTTTTGAAAATAGCTGAGTAGCCTCTTCTGTTGAAGGAAAAAGTGCCATGAAAATAAATTGCCATTTAATAACTTAAATGAAACAATGCTCTATTTCCTTGCTTTTTACATGCAAATAGAAGAACAGTATACAAACACTTCTCAAATTTAAAAACCTCTGAGGATCAGTGTCACAAAGATTGAGGTAGGGATGGAAATACAGGGATTAACATCCTAGGGGGAATGTTTTCGTGGCAATTGCTCTTGCCACACTCTGCATCTCATCTCATTAGGGGTAAAATATGTATTATAGCTTCTTGGCAAAACTTTCTCAGAACAAATATTTTTATTATTTCATTATAAAAATAACTTGCACTAAAAAAAAGAAAAAAAATCACATACCCCAAAACATACTGAATGGTATTTTAAAAGTTCCCTGAAATTCCATCTCCTACAAATTAACAATATTAACCTTTTGGTGGATATCTTTCTAGATGTATGTTCAGGCATACACATATAGTTAAACAAATCTATGAGTACACATATTTAAACAGATATATGTAAAATGCTATATTTAATGGCTACATACTGTTGTATGATGCATCAATTTATTGATCTAGTTTCCTATTGATAGGTATTTAGATTGCTTTTTTTTTCCCCTGCAGATAGACAGGGTCTTGCTTTGTTGCTGGAGTGCAATGGCACGACTGCAGCTCACTGCTGCCTCAAATTCCTGAGCTTAAGGGATTGTCCTGCCTCAGCCTCCTGAGTAGCTAGGACTACAGATATGCACTACCACGCCCAGCTAATTTTTGTACTTTTTGTATAGACAGGGTTTTGCCATGTTGCTCAGGCTCAAACTCCTGGGTTCAAGCAAGCTGCCTGCCTTGGCCCCCACAAAGAGCTGGGATTACAGACATAAGCCAACAGGCCTGGCCAACATTTTCATTAGCACTGTTTTTTAAATTGAAAACTTTATCTCAGAATAAGATTTTACCATGGAAGTTTATACATTTCAAATTAAGTCAAAGACAGACTTATACTGAAAAATTTTGTAATGAAGACTTGGAGGTCTCATCCAATCTGTAAGTCTGAAATATTTAACAATCAGAAGTTGTCACATTGCTTTATTTCATTGTATATTACTCTTGAAGTTTAAAAACCAGCCCTGTATGACAAAGAACAGAGATGATACCTCATCCCTAATATCCTAAATTTTTTTAAACAAAATGAAAAATTAGCCTTAAATTTCGGTTCTGTTAAGTTCTTCTGTAAGTTGATTATTTGCCAAAGCATGGCTCTCATTAAAAACTTAATCCATGAAACCAATTTTAGGCTATTTCGTAAACTTCTTACCTTTGACTTTGCAACTATTTCTGAAACTTTTACCACAGGATCTTGAGTGAGACTTAGTTTGTTCTGTGCATTCATCTTACTGTTCAGCCAACTCATGGCCTCATTGATGTATTTTTCAACCTTTTCCATTTCAGCAGGATCCAAATGATCATATCTTTCATCCTATTTTTAAAAAAAGCATTCAATTAGTGTAATGATTTTTTAGCTAGCACTGGTTTATTAGTAATTTCTACTTAAAAAATTTAGACTCTTATCGACTGTATACCTCAAATGTACTCATCTGAAGAAACCACAGACAAATAACACAGAACTGAAGAAAATGAGATAAAAGATAAAATCAGTGTGAGTTTTTTTAAAAAAGGGCTCTCTGAAGAAATCAGGTTTGGGGAAGAATGACTACAAAGGAATATTCAGGGAGAAAGCACTTAGCCAAGAAAGAGGTTGCAATGAAATGAAATTTATAAAGGAGAAATAAAGTGAACAAGGCATATAACAAACTAGACACAAAATTATGAATATACAACAGAAAAGTATGCTAAATTCTTGATTAGAAAAATGACAAAATTCTTTCTGAAAAAGAGGTACTGCAGCTGTCACATGTAATAGACAACTAAGTAGTCGTGGTTTAGATTAGTAGTGATAGAAAGAAATGGCAATGTAACATACAGAAAGAGGATCTCCTGATGGATTACAGATTAGACACAGAAGAGAGAGGATTTAAGAATATTCCAAAGTCAAAGATGCGGGAGGATGGTGATGCCCTTTTTAAAACCGTGTGTGTGTGTGTGTGTGTGTGTGTGTGTGTGTGTGTGTGAACAAAAAAAACTATAAAGCTTCCTCAGATACCCAAGTCCTCTTTCTGCTTGTATGATTACAAATTATGCATCCATCAACTGACTCAGTTTCTAGGTTGCCACATTTTCTTGAATTTCTTCCTATGTCATGGATCACTTCTTAAGATTCTTTGCCAGTTCATCCTCATTCGTCTGTCTACCCACACACTTTAAAAAAATCTCTAGCCTGAACCTCTTCCCTTAACTCTCAGCTCTGTATCCAACTTTGACTTTTCTATTTGTAAAGTTTGAAATGCTTATGTTTCAAACACCTGATTATGTCCCCACCTGCTCTTCCCAGTTTTCCTCATCTCAGCAAATGGAATCACTTTCAGCTCAAAATCCTTGGAGTCATTTTCAACTTTTTTCAGATATATTTACATCAAATCTATCAGGAAATATTAAAAGCTTCTACCTTCAAAATAAATGCAAAAATCTAACCACTTCTTGGCTTCCCAACCCTACCATCTGGGGTCAATCCTCCATCATTTCTTGCTTGTATTATTCTAATAATGTCTTAATCCATCTCTCTGCCTCCAGATCCTTAAAAAACAAAAAACAACAACAACAAAAAACCAAATGTTACTACTCCTGTGCTCAAAAACCTCCAACAACTTTCCATCTTAGAGTAAAACCCAAACTTTTACGAGGGCCAACTAGGCCCATTTATGATCTGGCAGCTGCTACCCCTACCCCTATTGTTTTCAACCACATTGACCTTGCTGTTCCTCTAACATGTTCTCCTCTTGGTGTTTTGCAATTGCTATTCTCTTTGTCTATAGCATTTCCCTTCCAGTTATCACACATCTTTGAGTTTTCACTTCTTCATTTCTCTCCTAACATGTCTATCACCTTATTAGTATGCCCTTCTGGCACACCTCTTCCATCTCTGGCAGTCCTTTACTTTTTCTAAAGCTTCTATCTGACATACTTTACAGTAATTTATTGTCCACCTTTCACTATTGAAGCATATTAAAAACCAGTTGACACTATAGTTCAGTCATCTAGAAAATAGCCTAGCACATAATAAAAACTCAAATGTTTGAGCAGAAGTGAAGTCTTGCCTTGCATGGAATAATACCTTAAACCTGCATACTGAAGAAGATAGCTAAAGACTGGGGAACACTGTGCCACTAGTAATTATACCAGATTTAAAATATTCCTGGTGTTTCCATTGAGCTACTCTTCCTTCTTACTTTTTCATTATCCTTACATTCCATCTGTGCCTATAAGAACAATCTGAACACTGATTTTAGCAGATATATTTATAATCAATATCTGAATTTGTCCTTTAGGTTTGCTGGACTGCAGTTTCTGTTTCACAAAACTTAAAAATCTATTTCTAAAATAAGTAACCCTTTTCCATTATGTGTAGTGAAAAGCAATACGGTTGCTGAGAATTTGTATATTGATGGTTAGGTTTGAATGTTGATTTCACCATTAACTACTTGGGTAAACTTCAACAAATGGTTTAAGCATTTCAGTTTTCTCAGATGTAAAATAAAGATAATAGCATTAACTTTGTATAGGATATATCCTGGTGAGACAGTCTACATGAAGTACTTAAAATTCATGACATGCTTGATAAATGTAAGCTATTTTGACATGCTTGAATATTTCTGGTGCTGGTCTCTCCTGCCTACTAATGAACGTTTAACATCATAGACAAAAACGGGATTACAGTGAATATCTGCTTAGAGTAGGGATCAAAAAACTTGTCCCATCGGCCAAATTCAACCACTGCTTATGATTTTTTACATAAAGTTTTTGGGAACACAGCCATGCCCATTAGTTTGCATATTCTCTATGGTACTTTTGTGCTACAATGGCAGATATGAATGGCTGAAGCCTAAAATATTGTTTTGTCTTAAAAAGTCTGCTAACTCCTGATTTAGAGGAAACAAAACAGTAAACATTTTCTCAAATTTTACTGTTATATCTAAATGGAGATATGAGGCTTAAAGTCAGTGGGAAGATTAAGGTTATATATATTTGGAAATGTATATAAAAGAATAAAGTGTACAGGAGATTATGGATGCCTAATGGACTGGAAGACAAAAGCAGCTAAAGAAAAATAAGCCAAGAAACAGAATAAAGGCTAGCAGAGTCTGGTCTCAAAGAGGTGCTTAATAAAAAAAGGTCAAAGAGGATCTCTTTTTCACTACATGAAAAACATAAAAATGAAATTTCTATGAAGATCACAATAAATTTGGTCACCGCATTATTTTATAATGTAGTTTCAGGAAATTCTAAAAGATGAAAGCTACACACCTTCACTGTATTTCAAATGTATCAGAATCCTTAAGTGAAATTCTTCAATAAAAAAATAAGCTTTAAATTCAGTACACAAAGTCTCTCAAATTTGATAGCTACAACTGCTATATATAGCTTTGTAGCTGAGAACTTTTAGATTTACCCCATTCTATGTACCATCCAAATGCCATCACCACCAACTGGTTTTATGAATTCAATACCTTGTTTCTATACGCTTCTATCACTTTCATGACAAGTTGAATCTTTTTTCCCAAGTCATTTAAGGCTTTTGGTCTCTCTTCATGCTCCATGTACTTCATTTGAATAGGCTGGCCATATTTCTGTTAACATAAGAAAGTTTTAAAGAAGAACAATTATTATTTGAGTTTTAACAGAAAACTTTTATTGGGCCCTTGCAGAATGATAAATAGGAAGAAAAGATGGCCAGATAAAATATATCCCCTATTATTTTCCTATATGGAAGCGAGTTCCAGTAGCTACTTTCTTGATCCTACATAAGGATGCCTTCCTCACACCTTATCTCTTTTCCTCACTCATTAAGATTGCTTCTTAGCTTCTCAAATCCAAAGTCTCAATCAAAACTTTAATTCCTTAGAAGCTGGTTGTTAAAACCTTATAGAACTATTAAAATAAGAAAACCCGTAAAAACTATACTGCATGCAGAATTTGCAGATTTGAAACTTGGTTTCAAATACTCAAAATCATAATATAACCCTCTATGTACAACATAATTACTAGGACTGATAATTACTAAATTTTATTTATATTTAATCAGTAAAATGTGTACTGTAGTATATGCAGCTTTTCCCCCCTATATGTCTTGGATTAACGAGTTTCTAAATGTTAAAACAGACTCTAGTTTTGGGAAGGGGAGTATATTAGAAGGATAAAATAACTATTTTCTTTTAAATTCTTTATATACTGAAACAAAAATCAGATATTAGAAAAATTTTAAGTTTACAGAAGAGTTAAAAGGAAATTATACAGATAGCACGCACCAGACACTTCTCCATGCTTTCCTCTAACGTTAGCATCTTAGGGTACATTTGTCAAAACTATCATACTTTTTATAGATTAAATCTTTTTGAAAGGGAAGCAAGCACTGAATTTTCTTTTTATATCAAGACAGGGTCCTACTCTGTCACCTAGGCTGGAGTGCAGTGGTGTGATTATAGCTTACTGCCGCCTCAAACTCCTGGGCTCAAGTGATCCTCCTGCCTCAGCCCCCAACCTGGAACTACAGGCCCATACCAGTGTGCCTGGCTAATTTATTTTTTTTAGAGATAGGGTCTTGCTTTGTTGCTCAGGCTGGTCTTGAACTCCTGGCTTCAAGTGATTTCTCCTGCCTCAGCCTCTCAAAGTGCTGGCATTACAGGTGTGATTCACTGCTCCCAGCCACCGTTTTAAATTTTTAAATGCCATCTCAAAAGTAGAAAAAGTAAAACTTGTGAAAACTTCTGTAACTTTTTTTTCTATGGCTACTTATATATTTGAAGCAGAAGAATCCATGATAGGAACTGCTGGGATTTTCAGTTCTTTCTACTGGCCTCAGCTGCTTGGCTTGTGTTTCTTTTAGGGAGATAGGGATTAAAAACCACCAAGAAGATATGGTAAACCCTACTTTTGCTATCATAAACTTACGTTTTCTAGTTGTTTTTTAATTATTTCCTTTGGAAGTAATTTGTTGGGATGAAGGTAATTTTTTGTACAATACTAACTTCTTTTAAGTTGAGTAACTTCTTTTGCATACCTTCCCCCACCTCATGCCTGTCCCAAGTTGTAAAGGGCCATCTTTTCTCATATTCTAAAAATTATTGTTAATGTCATCATTTAGCATCTATGTAATCCCTTGCTACTCAAAGAATGGTTCAGGGACCAGCAGCATCAGCATCACTTGGAAGCTCATTAAAAGTGGGCCCACCTTGTATCTATTGCATTTCAATAAGCACCCAGGTAATTCATATGCACATTAAAGAATTGCTATGATCTATACTAAGAAGGAATGACTGAAAATTTCCTTCATCCTTCCCATAGAAACTTAAGTTATTTTTTCCAGATTTGGTAGCAAGTATGGAGAAAGGAGTCATAGTGGTCTTTCCCTAAAATAACACCCTTGACCTAAATAAGATTTTGTGGCTCAATTTCCTTATTTGTGAAAGGACATTCAAATTCAAGAGAAGTGGCACTATTTTTTAAGTTCTTGGCTGGTCAGGTGTCCCCATGAGTTACACTATGAAAATAAAACAACCGGCCAATGTGGTATTTATTTCTCCCCAACATGAGACAGTTTAGAGTGAGGGAAAAGGGAAAGAGGGTGACTCCTTTAATGGATAAGAAAGGGTCAAGATGATATACTTATCACTTCTTAAAGACATGCTAGTAATATATAGCTTGTGCAAATGTAACACTCTGATCATCCGATCCACATTAATATTTGAGTATCATGATAGACTAAATGACTACACATTACCTGATTTCAATTACGTAGTACTGCTCACCTCTCAAAATGCTTTTAAAATTAGAACATTTCCTCTTATACATTTCTGATTTAGAAATTTTTCACATACTTACTAAAAACATACAGATCCAGTAATCTCATTAACTGGGTATATATCCAAAGAAAATAAAATCAGTATGCCAAAAGGATATCTGCACTCCATGTTCACTGCAGTGTTATTCACAATAGCCAAAATACAGAATCAATAAAAATACAGAACCAATTTAAGTGTCCATCAATGAAATGATGGATAATGAAAATGTAGTATGCATATACAATGGAATACTATTCAGCCTTAAAATGAAGTAAATCCTGTCATTTGAGACAACTTAGATGAATCTGAAGGACATTATGCTAACTGAAATACGTCAGGCACAAAAGGAGAAATACTGCATGATCTCAAAGATTGAATCTATAAAAGGTAAACTCATAGAAGCAGATAGTAGGATTGGTGGTTACCAGAGGATGGTATGATGGAGAGCTACTGGCCAAAGGACACAAAATTTCAGTTAGACAAGTAGAAAATGTCCAAGAGATCTATTGTACATCATGGTAACCAGAGTTACCATATATACCTAACAGTATGCTGTATATCTGAAAACTGCTTGAGAGAGTAGATTTTACGTGTTCTCCCTCCCAAAGCAAGAAAAGTATATGAGATAATGCATTTGTTAAATAGCTTGACTTAGCCATTCCACAATGTGTGCATAATCAAAACATCATGTCATACACCATAAATATATACAATTTCCCTGCAATTAAAAAATTAATAGAACATACACAGTACTCTTACACCTTAATTTTTAGAAAAAAAAAGTGATTTATACTAACATGGACTTAAAAAAATGTACCTTTAGTTCTTGAAGCTTATCCACATACACTTGTTTAGGTTGGTCCTCTCCTTCTTCATAAAGCCAATTTTCTGTGTCTTCCAACATTGCAGACAGTTTATTCAAGTCCTAGTAATATATTTGAAAGACACCAATTAAAAATGCTTTCCTTAGAAATAGAAGTCATCATTGGGCCCAGTGCAGTGCCTCATGTCTGTAATCCCAACAGTTTGAAAGGCCCAGGTTGGAGGATTACTTGAGCCCAGAAGTTAAGATATCAGCCTGGGCAACATGGCAAAATCACATTTCTACAACAAATTAAAACATTAGTCAGGCATGATGGCATGTGCCTATATTCCCATCTACTTGTGAGGGTGAGGTGAGACAGGATTGCTTGAGCCCGGGAAGTAGAGGTTGCAGTGAGCTGAAATCGAGCCACTGCACTCCAGCCCGGGGCAACATAGCCAGATGCTGTCTCAAATAAATAATAATAATTAAAAATCAGGGAAGGATGGGATGTTTTTCAATTATAAAACATCAAATTTCAAAATTTTCTAACTTCTTATTAAAAAATGTTGTTTTTCGCTATACTTCTGCAACTTATAAACTAAGAACCTTCCCCATGTGGGCCCCAAGACTGGCAACAATAACAAAATATGGTATATTTATTTACATAATTTATACTAGCATTCTCAAGTAAACATGTAAACAGTTCTCACAAAAAATTACAGAATTCAGACTTACTTCTGGAGTAATGAATTTTTCATAGACAGTGCCCAGCCTGTCTCTAAAATCATACACATATTCTTCAACAGCATTCTTAGCATCATTTCTTTCTTTCTCTAACTTATCTTGCATAATCATCTTCCCCTATTCAAAAAGCCTCAGATTAGTTGCCATAAGAACACGCATTAGGGAAATAACAAATCAAAACCACAGTAAGATACCATTTCACACTCACTAGGATGATTATCATAAAAAAAGTATTCATGAGGATGTGGAGAAAGTGAAACACTTGTACACTGCTGGTAGGCATGTAAAATGCTACAGCCACTATGGAAAACCTTTTGGCTATCCCTCAAAGTGCTAAGCACAGAATTTTAATTTCACTCCTAGATATAAACACGAAGAAATTGACAGCAGGGACTTGAACAGATATTTGTATGTCAACGTTCACTGCAGCATTACTTACAAGAGCCAAAAAGTTAAAACAACCTAAGTGTGCACTAATAGATGAATAAAAAAATAAACACAATGTAGTATTTTATTTAGCTATAAGAAGAAATGAAGTAATGATACATTGAAGTCGCTATGCCAAGTAAAATAAGCCAGATACAAAAGGACAATCATTGTATAATCCTACTTAACATGATTCTAATCTACTGAAAACTAGGCAATTCATAAAGACAAACTAGGAGACTGGAAGAAGGGAGGAAGGTAAGTTATTATAGAGTTTATGTTTGGGGTGATGGAATTGTTTTGAAAATAAGATAGTGGTGATGGATGCACAATACTGTGAATAGAATTAAAGCTATTGAATTAAACACTTAAAAATAGTTACAATAGCAAATTTCATGTAAAAAAATTAATGTAGTATACTGAAAGCACTGAATTGTATACTTTAAATGGGTTAATTATGATATGTAAATGTATCTCAATAAAGCTGTTAAAAAACAAAAACAAAACATAGCCTACTGTCATTTTACATATTTGGCTTAAAATCCTAGGTTCCCTATTTACTAGCTTGAGATAGCAGGAAAATAATCTAAACATAAGTTTTCTTATCCTAAAACAGAAAGCATAATTCCATCTAACTCCCAGGGCTGCTAATAAGGTTGAAAGAATTCATACAAAAATATTTAGTTCTATGCTTGACACATAACCAGTACTGAATAAAAGCACTGGAGGGGGTATTCTCTGATCCTTGGTGATTTAGTCTGCTTATGTCTCAGTTTCCTCACCTGTAAAATGTAGTTCTCTAACAGAACCTACACTTCAGTAGGTTCTGTTACACTTATTTGAGGGTAAAAATATAACAGTATTTATAGATGTTAGTTTATGATGATCAAAAGCAAAGAAATAGCCTAAAGATTATAATACTTGAGCAAAATTTTCACTTTAATAAAAACACATGTAAACTTAAGAATCCCTTTATAAACTACAATGCATTCACATTTGTGAATTGAAAATAATGAGACATTCAAAAGTTAAGAAAAAGTCTCATTTTATACACAAAATTTGCCATAACTGTGCTTCCCTACAATTCATTCCTTTGGGAAAATTTTTCTCAAGACATACAAATTCTGAATTATTCAGAATCTCCAGGAATGCCTGCTTCACATAAAATGCAGCCTTTAACAATTATAATGAATAGATGATATAGATAGGTACTACAAAAGCAACTATTGTAAAGTCAAAATCTCTTGATACAATAAACATACAGCAAATGGTAGCTATGAGACACTTCAAAGAAGACTGACCTTTAAATGCCAGCCAAATGTGTAAAAATTAGGAACTACCACTTAAATGTAAACTTAAAAAATATAAATTACTCCTTATGCAGCAACTGGTAAAAAAAACAAAACTTGTTTCATCCAGATACTGTAACTTAAACATGTAAACAGAAAAGAACATGTAAGAAAACATCAAGAATGACACAGATTTTAAAAAAAATACTTAATGGATGTGAGAAAACATTTTGAATAGAGAGATAATCTTTAAGGACAACACAGGAGAAAAAGGGAACAGCCAGTATTTCCCCATATGTTGTCTGCTGGATGTTACTGTTAAAGACAGCATAAAAGGAATACTCAGTTTCAGAAAAGTCTTTTCCTAGGGGAGGCAATACATATTTTTCATACAACTAAGATGAAAGCTACATAGTACATATGGCATTAATACAGCTCAGTATTTTGTAAGAAATAAGGTAGTTCAGTAATCTACTTAACATAATTCCTTAGGAGTTATAAACTAGTTCCCTAAATTTTAGAGATAATCATTGATTTCTACAAAATTTCAGAATAAACTACCACCTATTTCAACACAAACTCAGATTTACATACCTCATTTTCAATGTAGCTGTTGAGAAGATCTTGGCCCAGTTGTCTACATAGGCTACTCTGGATGGGTAGATCAATACTCTTGACTTTTCCTTTTTTAAGTGTCTGATTTAATCGGTCTTGTTTGTCTGAGATAGCTGACTGCAAATCCAAAAGAGAAGTAAAAATTTCTAAAATTAGCTTAAAAACAGATTTAAGAGGTAAAACAAAGTAAAATCAAAACTATTACAATTGGTTGTATTTAAAGTACTACCTTAAGACTGATGGGAATTTTGTAGTCTGTACGTTAAATCCTAGTTTCTATATTAAAAATCTTATGTTGGAAATGCAAAGCAAAACTAAAATGAGTAGTTCCTTCTCACCCACTATGGTGGATATAACAAAAATATAGAAAATAATAAATGTCGGTGAAGGTGTGGGAAAGCTGCAACCCCTCATACACTGGTTGCAGGATTGTAAAATGTTACAATGGAAAACAGTTACGAAGTTTCTCAAAATGTTAAACAAAGATGACAATGTTAACAAACAATGTTAATAAAAATGTTAAACAATTATGACCCAGCAATTCCATTCCTAGGTATTATACCCAAGAAAAATGAAAATACACATTCCCACAAAAACTTGTATATGATTGTTCATAACAGCATTATTCATAATAGGGAAAACGTGAAAATAACCCAAATGTCTATCAACTGATAGATGGATAAATAAAATGTGGTATGTATTCATACGATGCAATATTATTTGGCCGTAAAAAGGAATACTGATATATCCTACAATCTGGATGAACCTTGAAAACATTATGCTTAGTGAAAGAAGCCAGTCACAAATAACCACATACTGTATAACTGTACTTGTATAAAATGTTCAGAAAAGGCAAATCTATTGCCTAATCCCTGTGGCTGGCAGGGAGAGGGTTGAAGGGAAATGGGAAGTCACTGCTAATAGACACCAGGCTTCTATTTGAGATGATGAAAATGTTCTAAAATTGTGATGATGGTTGCACAACTGAATATACTAAAAACTATAAACCTAACGGCATGAATTGAATGATCAGTAAACTATCTCAATAAAGCTGTTCAGCGATCAAAATTTTGGAAAAAAAGTTTCCAGGTTTTAAATAACTTTAGAATCTAAGATTTAAAACTAAATAATCTCTGAGAAATAAATCTATTCAGCTAACCTGCATAGATTAAATTCTGTGCAGGTTAGAAAAATCTGTTCAGGATGATGGCTTAGAGTTATGACCACATTCATCTCAGTCACTGGGACAGGGTCTCTCCCTTCTGTTCTACTGGCAATCACTGTCTTGGAAAAATAATTACTCTCAATAAAGCATTTACCCTTTAACATTTTAATTTTGAAAGTATCAGCTTTTATACATATTTTACGATATGCAATAAAATAATTGGTTAAGTGGTTAATTCTGAGATACAGAATTAAGTGGTTAATTCTGAGATAGAGTACAACTAATGTAAGTTTTCCTCATATAGCTTGTCCCATCTATTTTTCTGAAATGATTTTTTCACTTAAAATTTTAACTTATGTATTCATACTTCAGAAATACAATGCAGTTATTGGTGAAACATGACATATAATGAATTAAGGTAAAGAATTTAGGCCATTTTACTGTTGGGTTCTTTGATCAAATTTCTTTTTTTTCTTTTTTTAACTTTTAAGTTCAAGGGCATATGTGCAGATTATATAGGTAAACTGCATGTCACAGGAGTTTGTTGTACAAATTATTTCATCACCCAGATATTAAGCCTAGTACCCATTAAGGGGAAGGATGCTCTCTCTCCCTTCCACCCTCCACTCTCCAGCAGGCCTCACTGTTTGTGTCCATGTGCTCTCGTGAGTTGAGAAAAACTGTTAATGAAAAATATATATTTTTTTCTACTAAAAAAGGTAATTTTGCTTATGTTATTAGAGTTCATTTTTAAAAAGCACAACTCTTAACAAATCATTAAAGTATATTTATTCTAGCTATCAGCTTTCTATACTTTTTTTTTTACAATTCTGAGATCAAAACTATCAAGTGCATTAAAAGAAAGCATTATAAAATATGATAATTCAAAATATTAATTTCAAAAAGACACTAAAGCAAAAGTAAACCAAACCTTTGTTTTGGCTCCTGTATGATCAATTTCCTCTTCTGGGGTGTGTTCAGCATGACATTTTTGATGCCCTCCTTCTTCTTGGTCAACCTGCATTTTATCCTAGAAAGAATACATAATTGACAATATATGCAGTGTCTTTTTTCTTGTTTTAAAAACGTAAACCGCATCTTAGAGTTCAAGCCTGTTTTGAAATGTAAAATGTAGAAACAGTTAAGCAGAAGCTCATTTTTCAAATGAGAATTGCTACAAATAAACAGATTAACAGTTAAGTAAAGTAAAATGATCTATTTGATGCTATGAGATAAATCTTGTCTGATTTATGGCAAAACAATTGAAAAATACATGGAAAATTGTTCTCAAGTCAAATTTACAAATCGAGATTTCCAAAAGCTTACAAAAACAAAGAAAGAGAACATTCAAGGGTTGGGGGCTAAGGGAGGGACAGCATTAGGAGAAATATCTAATTTAGATGATGGGTTGATGGGTGCAGCAAACCACCATGGCACGTACATACCTATACCTATGTAACAAACCTACACATTGTGCACACGTATCCCAGAACTTAAATAAAAACATAAAGAACATTCAACCTGACATAAAAAAGTTTATAACACGAGAAAATAAAATGAAAAAGATAAAATGAAAAAGATACAAAATCTATGAATTACACAAATACAATACTATATCTTTAATTGTAAAATGTAAAATAATTAGAAACACCCACTTTGAGTTTTGATATAAATTCATCAAAACTCAAAGTGGGTGTTTCTAAATTATTAAAAGGTATATTTTAAGATTTTATGTCTAAAAACCAAACTTTCTACCAATAAAATCTCGAAAATGAACTCTCCACTTGGCAAATAATCCTATGTGTATAATAGATTTTTTTGGTCACCTTCTTAATCCTATCTGTCACCATCCTCCTGAAGAAAGCCTGAAATGTAGCAATCAGCATAATTTAGGTCTCTGGCTACATCTAGAACTGAGCAAATCTGTAATAACCAGAGAGCTATTTTGATTAAAAGCTTATTTCTGCCAAAGAGGAAAGAATTTTTTTTTTTAGTTAAAAGGCCAATTTTCTTTGAGAGAGCGAAGTGGGTAGATCATGAGGTCAAGAGTTCAAGACCAGGCTGACCAACATGGTGAAACCCAATCTCTACTAAAAACACAAAAATGAGCCAGGTGTGGTGGTGCGCACCTGTAATCCCAGCTACTCATGAGGCTGAGGCAAGAGAATTGCTTGACCCCAGGAGACGGAGGTTGCAGTGAGCTGAGACCGTGCCACTGCACTCTAGCCTGGGCAACACAGCGAGACTCTGTTTCAAACAAATGAACAAAAAAAAGTCAATTATTTCTGTTATTTCAACTCCCCTCCTTCCAACTCTCTTCCCCACCTTACAACCTCCCCAACCCTGTTGATAGGTAAGAGGTGAAAAAAATGATAAAATGTTGAGTTATTTACTAATTTTTGTATTACTTCAAAAAAAAATGCTGTCAATTAAATGGCTGCAATGCCTTATCACTTAGAATTTTTACATTTATTGAAAGAGCTCTTCCATTTATATATTTATATCTCTTTTAGAGAGAAAAGAAAAATAAACCAGATGAAGTACGTATTTCTAAAATTTCTTCACATTCAGAATCTAACTCTAATGAATCACTTAATCCAGTTGTTAATGTATTTTCTACACAATATCATTCTATGTGTCATCAGGAGTGCAAATGACTCAGCATTTGTTTAAAAGTTGCTCTAATTTGGTCTCTAGTGTTTCTTGTAAGCCATTAATACCTATTCTACAAGACTTATGATTTTATCTTAATCACAACCTGTTTTCAAACAACTAGGACTCACATTCCTTCCTTAAAAGGCTTGTTCACTAAAATGTCAAGAGGTTGCCAACTACATAGTCAAGCCACTAGGAATAACAACGGAATTCACAGGTGCACAGGTAATGAGAAGTATCTCATGACTACTGCCATGGCCAACAGCAAATATGTTATCAAGACTCATCTCATTAAAATATATTTAAAAGTGGAAAATTATACATCTTAAAATAGACATAAAATGGTAAAAATTTGTTAATACTTTAAAATGATTTAAAAACATTTACAGAATTATTATCAATAGTGGGATAATTAATGGAAGTGCCTCTAGACTCTAGCTTCCCTGATGGATTTTAAACTCCGTAAGAGTTGAAACCATCCTTCTGTTTGCTGCTATGGCCAAGCACACATTTTAGGTACTCATAGTTACTTGTTAAATAAACATAAACCACTTAAACAAATCTAGATATTATTTTGAACTGTAAGGTTTTATCTGATTTGTTTCTTGATTTATTCTCTCAATTTCATTTTTTTCCTGCTATTCTCCCATTCTCCACACCTATATCCTATACACAAATCACTCTTCCATTTGTAACACACACACAAGTCTTCCTGTCTCAGTGCCTTTGTATTTGTTATTCACTCTGCCTGGACAACTACCTACCTACTCCTTACATGCAAACTGCCTTTTGCATCTTTCAGACTAGCTTACCTGTTCCTTCCTAAGTGGTTTCCTCATCACTATCACATGGTTTCTACTATGCATCCCCATTAATTTACTTTAAATTTATATGCCATCTTTTTGCTTCTTGCCTGTCCTTTCCCACTTGACTGTAAGTTACAGAAGGATGGCAACCTTTTCAATCTTGTTTATCACTGTATCCCTAGTACATAGCAGAGTCCTGGCTACATATAAGCAATCAAATATTTTGAATTAAAAAATAAACATAGGTAGATAAAAAGATAAAGAACCCAAATGGTCAACAACTGGGAAATAAACTGTGGTACATTAGTAAGATGAATAGCACATAGTTTCTTTGATCCCTGTTTTGTGATATAGTTTAAGATGTGATAATTTTTCTTTTTTTTGCAGATATGCTGTCCAGGCTGGACTCAAACTCTGGCCTCAGCATCCTGAGTAGCTGAAACTATAGGCACAAACCAAAGTACCTGGAGCTTGATGTAGTAATTCCTTAATATGCCTCTGTATTAAATTATACCCACAAAAGAGGTGTCAATTTTCTCACACATCATTACATTGACGTCAGCAAACTCTATTGTGATTTTTCTGGAAAATCAATGCTCTTTTAATTTTGAATTAGAAAATAACACATATAAATTGACCCTCATAGGAAAAAAAAAAGGCTTCTGCTGATGTTCACTGGTTTATGTCTGAGCCTCTTTACCTACCTCGGAATCAGCAACACCATCAGCTACAACAGAGTAAAAATAAGAACTTTTTATCGTATTATTCCCTACCCCTTGAAATTGAAACATTAGCTTCCAGAGTCTTTGAATTAGTTCACTTTTTTGAGGGGAAGAGGAGACTACTTTATAATGGTATTTAAGTCTTTAAACTTCCAAATACATTACTAAAGAGAAAAATCCTACAGAGAACAATTAAGAAGGTGCACAGGCCAGGAACCGTGGCTCAAGCCTGTAATCCCAGCACTTTGGGAGGCTGAGGCAGGCAGGATCACAAGGTCAGGAGTTTGAGACCAGCCTGACCAAGATGGTGAAACCCCATCTCTACTAAAAATACAAAAATTAGGTGGGTGTGGTGGTGTATGCCTGTAATCCCAGCTACCCAGGAGGCTGAGGTAGGAGAATCGCTTGAACCTGGCAGGCAGATATTGCAGTGAGCTGAGATTGGGCCACTGCACTCCAGCCTGGACAACACTCCATCTCAGAAAAGATAAGTGCACAGAATATTTTCAACACAAGGTATTCAGCATCATTACTTTTGTTAGCAAGGAAAAGGACATAAACTACCATTTTTTCAATACTTATTACATAGCTGTGATAGCGATTTAAAAGATAATATATACATGAATGTGCTTACCAACAATGCCAAGTATATGATCCATAATGTTAGCATGGTAGCTACCTTTTTCTTTTGATTATATACATTGTAAAAGAAATATTAAGGAACATACCACCTATCTAGAAATTCCTTATATGGGAACTTCAACTGCCTGCAAATGTTCTAGAGCAAGCCAAAAACTATCATAAGCAGCTAAGTCTCTGAGTAACCAAAGCAGGTGTCATAAATCTGTGCACTTTATTCACAGGTGAACCCAATAAGTTCATATCCAGAAATCATCCTTTAAAGTTTGGTTAATTGAATTTCCAGCTGACAAACAAAAGCAGAAAATAAGAAATGCAAGGGGAAGTACAACATGGGTGCCACATTATTCTTGTTGTATTTTCAGTTCCCAGGATTCACTAATATTATATAAAGAAAATTAAAGGTCTCAGCAGAAATACTTAAAAAAAAAAAAGGTAAATGATTATGAACACCTGGTTTTGGAAGGCATACAAAGAAAGCACTTTCAATTTTAGTAAAAATAAATCTTGATGAATTAAATTTATTTATCTAAGTTACTGTGGATCATAATTTGAAATATTAACTTTTCACCAGTCATTCTTAAGTTAATTTATGAAAAACCATATCTTCACTAACAGATAAAGACACTTCCTCTTCCTCAATGCAAATAAGAAAGTGATTACAAAATTATAAAAGACTGAAAGAAAAAAGGCCTGGTGCAGTGGCTCACGCCTGTAATCCTAGCATTTTGGGGTGCCAAGGCAAGCGGATCATGAGGTCAAGAGATTGAGACCATCCTGGCCAACATGGTGAAACCCCATCTCTACTAAAAATACAAAAATTATCTGGGTGTGGTGCCACATGAGTGTAGTCCTAGCTACTTGGGAGGCTGCGGCAAGAGAATCCCTTGAACCTGGGAGGCAGAGGTTGCAGTGAGCTGAGGTCATGCGTTTCAGCCTGGCGACAAAGTGACACTCCGTCTCAAAAAGAAAGAAAGAAAGAAAAAAAAAGCCATAGTTCTAAATGAAGTAGTTTAAAGGCTGGTGGTTGAATTCTGATCAATTTGGAAGAAAGATGCATAGTAATTATTAATAAAAACAAACAAAAAGCAATCTTCAGAAAAGGGAGAAACCATCTTGAAATAGAACAAAAGAAAATCTAGGGCAGATTTCCAATTGTAATAAGAAAAACAAAAAACTAAAAATGCCATTAAAAATAATTCATGAGGAGTGCACATAAAAAGATGAAAACATTGTGTAATGAAATACAATAAAGTTCTCCTAAGATTTCATCTACAGTATCTCCAAAGTAAATTCAGTGCCACAGAACTCTTTAATCAAGAAAAAGTTTAAAAATCTGTACTTTAATATTACTGAATGTACAGCACATTCTGCTCCTTAACTGTCTCAGATGTCTCCCAAATAAACCCAGAAAAATTCTTTATTAAGCAGGTATATTCAATCTAAAAAATGTATAGTTCAAAATTTATCATTCTGAATTGGTTTTATCTGTAAGCTAAAAATCTAGCCATAACAAAATACATGTTTTAATAGAAATTAAGAACTTAGAAAAGAACTCCAGGTTAACATGCTCCATATAATGCTATGAAAGATGTACCAAACTCTTAAAAAGTATTATTAAGATGTGAAAGATGTAAAGCATTGAAAATAGTATTATTCTTTAACCTTTTATCAAAAGACTTTACATTGATTCCCACAGCAGAAATTCAAAGCCAAAACCCGAGAGTAATGTATTCAACCATTAAAGTCCCAATTATGATTAAAATATACTGTATACACTACCTATTACAAAACCATTGAGAATGGATTTCGACATACCACATTATCTTTGTTTTCATTTTTAAATGAAGTTTCTGTCTCCATTGCAGCATCACTGTGATCGCCTTCCAAATTCTGCTTCTCAATTACTGATGCACTAGCCACACTGAAGATTCCATGGATGTTAACACGAACTTTAACTTTCACTTTGGAACTATCACCATCAGACTGTGGAAAAACATTCTGAATAGTGAAGCTCCCTTAAGGAAAAAAGAACTCTGATCAGTATGTAAGCTTCAGATTAACTTATTCAATTCATTTATTGAATAATTTGGCTATCGCCTTTAAGACATTGGCAAATAATCATGCTGGCAATAATTATGATCATATCCTAATTGATCACTATGGGGCAGGTACTTCCCCCAGATTATCTTTTACAAACCATAACAAACCTGTTATTAAGTCTCAGGAAGCTTAAGTAACCTGCCCAAAATCATCAATGCTAGGAAAAAAAAAAGCATTGGGAGTTTAACCATGGACAATTTGATTCAAAGGCAGTAAGTTATCTTATAATGCTGGTATTTGAAAACTAAAATAGCAAAATTCAGTTTCTGAGTTTGAAAACCAGATATTACCTTTTTTGATATAAGCTTTACAAATCATAATCATCTTGGTAATTCATAAAGCAATTCCAATTTTCTTTTTTGATTTTTTCCTATAGTAAAACTGTAAAGTTTACAGTCACTAATACCTGCAGAGATTATCAATGCTTTAAGAAATCTATTAATGTTTTATTTCTTTAAAGAAATCTCATATATATAATATTTATAGTAGAAGAGCAAATACTAGGCAGAAAAATCAGGTAGTAAAAAATTTGGATGACTTTTTTATGGATTAAATTTTACCCCCCACTGTGCTTAGTATCTCAGAATGTGACTATGTGTGTTTTGTTTTGAGACACGGTTTCACTCTGTCACCCAAGCTGTAGTGCAGTGGCATGATCATAGGTCACTGCAGCCTCAACCTCCCAGGGTCAAGCAGTCCTCTCACCTCAGCTTTCAAGTAGCTGGGACTACAGGTGCATGCTACCATGTCTAGCTAATTTTTCTCATTTTTAGTACAGATTAGGTCTCGCTATGTTGCCCACACTGGTCTCAAATTCTTGGGATCAAGCAATCCTCCTGCCTCAAAGTGCTAGGATTACAAGCATAAGCCACTATGCTTAGCCTGTGACTGTATTTGGAGATACCTTGACTTCAGACTTCTAACCTCCATAACTGAGACAATAAATTTATACTGTTTAAGCCACCTAGCTTGTGGTACTGTTATAGCAGCCCTAGCAAACTGTTAGTAGTTGTACTGTTTTATATAACAATCCTTGAAATATTTATAATTTTTGTACTATCCCCTTCTTAGTCTATAAATCAGTACATAAACAAAAATTAAAAACTTCAAAATTCTTTTAAATATTATAAAATAATTTTGTTTTATATCTTCTGAAAAGATCACTCAGTTAAAATGGATATTACAATCTCCCATTCTCACTTTCCTTATTTTCCTATTATTTAGTCACATCATTTATAAGGGCATATGTTTATAAAAGATGGTTAAGACTGGTTAGTAATTGATTCTTGGGGTTTGCTTTAAAGTGAGAAAGGGGGAAGTAGTTATGATTCAGAAAGAATATTTCAGGATGATACATGTTGACTATAAACTGAAAAGGTACACTGACATCAATCATATAAACAGCAAATACAAATGTAAATGATTTAAGCCTACTCGTTCATTTTTTAAAAGCATCCTTGTTTCTTTAAAGTTAGGTAGTATAAATGATTCTTGAAAATCTACTGTGGACGTGATATATTCAGTCAAACTTGCTAGGGGTTGGGAAGTGATTTTGTGACCATCCAATTTGGAGTCTGACTGAGAGTTCAACAGCATTACAAAAAAGTTACAGTCATGGTACATTATCAATTCCTTGGATGGTACGGTGTCCACAGCTCTCATCATCCTGGTTACCCTTCTTTCTGCTTTCACTTATACATTCCTTTCTTTTAAACAAACAAAAAATATCAAAGTTCACCAAAATTCAGAAAGTCACAGTTCATCTAGCACTGAATGATAGCAGCTTTGGCATTTGATATTACAAAGTAACTTTTCCATCACAAACACTTTCTTCATTCTGGGTCAAGGCAAGGTAAAACAGGAAGAATACGGTTCCCAAATGCAGAGTCTTGAGTTATGAAGTATCCAGATGAATGTGCATGAGCATGCTGCTAAGCTGCCTTCTGTTGGGCTGCAATATGCTGTTGCTCAGCGTGATCCCCGAAGTCCTTATTAAGAGAGGGTCTTGAGAGTACAATGCTAGCTCCAGGATGATTTGTCGAAGACTGATTCTACATAAGCAGTTTTCTTTTTGTCTAGTTCTGCCAAGACTGCAACTCTATTTTTGATTTGAAAACCTTGTTGTGAAGAGTTTGCTGCCATTTTCCTTTGTTTCAGTTATGTCCAGTGGCAACTGGTCAGCATCTCACCAATCACCTGGGATGCGAGAACACTGGGACCACCTTGCCCTCCAATCACCCTCACTCTCACATTAATCCAATAAGAGTCATTCTAGTTGATGCCAGTGAACATTTAAGTTTAAAATTAGAATATATAGTCAGTCTGGCACCACGATTTCAATCTACTGATTAAGTTTTTCAATAAAAAATAATTCTCACACAAACCTTTTAGGCCAGTTACAGAGCATTTTATTTCCATTTGTATTTTATTTTACTTTACTTTATTTTATCTCACTCTATTGCCCAGGCTGGGAGTGCAGTGGAACAATCCTAGCTTACTGCAGCCTCTGCTTCCTGGGTTCCAGTGATTCTCCTGCCTCAGCCTCCTGAGTAGCTGATATTGCAGATGCGCACCACCACACCTGGCTAATTTTTGCAGAATTAATTTTAAATACAGAAGTAAAAATGAATTAGAAATATAGCTGTCCCCTCAGTATCCATTAAGGATAGGTCTCAGGTTTCCCTCTGGATGCAAGAACCTTGTATATATCATTTTGCATGTGAGTGAGACGAGGTCTCACTATACTGCTCAGGCTAGTCTTCAACTCCTGGGCTCAAGCAAACCCCTGGTAGTTAAGTCCTGTTTTTTAAAAAAATGACCTAGTATTTTTTTTTATAACCTACATACATCCTCCCAAATTCTCTAAGTCTATATAATCTCTAGATTAATTATGATACTTAATACAAAATAAACGGTATGTCAGTAGTTACAATATGTAGTAGGTGAACAATGACACAAAAAAAAAAAGTCTAGATGTGTTTAGTACAGAAATTTCTTTTTACCCAAATTGACTGAATCTACAGATGCTGAACCCATGAATACTGAGGGCTGGCTGTAGTAAACCCTGCTGTCATTACAGTCATAAACTGAGCACTACAAGTGTACATTTAAAAAAGAGTATAAATATCTTTCTTTAAAAATCCAGTACTGGCTTAGCTGAAACGTTTGTTTCCTTGATTCTAAAATGACACATTATTTATAAAGAGCCAAAATGTTATGGAAAACTTTTTCTTTTTTTTCTCTTACCAATTCTTGCATCGGGATAAGGCACTTCATGTAAATTAGTATAAAATGCTTCTAGTTCAAATGGTTCCTTCTTGTGGAAAGTAATGACTTTTGAGAATGGGGCAGGATGGTTCTTACAGAAAACTTCACATTCCCTAAAATGGAATGGGAAAGACACTCGCTTAGAAACAAAGAAAGTTGCTTATGAACCTATTTACTGAATCCATTTCATTCTTAATTCATTAGCAGCAATTGCAAAAATCTCTGCACAAATAAAACAAATTATTGATTTTGCTCTAAACATGCCTTGTGAAGATTTATGGCTCAAAGTTTTCATGATGTCTATCATAACAACAGACAATTTTATACTACTAAAAAGAGAAAAATTACCTGAAAATATGTATATTTTAAAGCCAATGTGTAGGGTTCCTCAGATTTGAGGGAGAAGTCCTACTTATTAACTTCCAAAATACTTGCCACGTATTACTCTTTTAACTCTGGCTACCTTTATTTAAAGCTTTTGTTTGCAAATAATTTTAAACCTATAGAAAGGTGCAAAATTAAAAACAAGGAACACTTACGTTATCTTTTACATGGATTTGCTACTTGACTCCGTTTGTTTTACCATCTGAGTGCACACACACTCTGTGTATATTCTTTCTGCACCAACTGAGGGTGATATATATTATGGTCCTTTACGCCTAAAAACGTCAGTGTGCATCCTAATAGGGATATTCTCTGACGTTTTACTATTCATATTTCCATTTTTTTTCAGCTGCTATAATAATGTCCTTTGCAGTATTTTATCCCTCCAATACAGGGAGTTTTTTAAACCTACATAGCAATTCCTATTCCTTAAATTGTTTAACAGAAACAGTTTATGACTATTTTTTATGATGGCCCAGAAACCAAGCTTTAATACTATGTTATGATCCTATAAAAAAAAAAAAAAAAAAAGATAAAATCTTGAATCCATAAACCTCTTACTCTATCCTAGTTTTCAAGAACGTACCAATACGTTATACTTTCTTATTGTAGTCATTAGGCTATATTTACTTTTCAATTTACCTCTCCATACATTTTCTTACAATTTTTTTTCCTGAATCACTTATGCCTTGAAACCAAAATTAAATTTTATAGAATAATATATCTTGCCTCAAAATTGGAATTATCTGGGGCAGATGGGTAAAAAAGAATTATAAAGAAAAATACTGACATTAACACATGCCATTCAAATGCTTTGCAAGACATTCAGGTAAAGCTGATAATCTGTATTTTTGAAATTTATACAACCACATTTTCTTGGGGGTACTTATGTATAGAACACAGAACAAAAATTTAAAAATAACTTCAAAATGTAAACACACCGTTATTCATTGTACAAGCTATACTTTGGAAAGGCAGGCAAGTAAAATATATGAAATATAAATTTTGATTCTGGTAGGGAAGTAAGCTACTTAAATCCTGGGCATCTTATGGAAAAAATGTAAATGTTAATAAAAGCATAAAAATATTATAGCTTATACAGACAGAAACATAAACTTAATAACAAAGTACTTTTTTTTTTAACTATAGGCATGTTAAATTTAAAAGTATAGCAGAAAATAAGCTAAAACAGGCAATCTCATGAACGTTAACAGGAATGTAAACCAGTATCTTTTTAGTGAATAATCTGCCAATATTACTCAAAATAATGTGCATATTCTTCGACGCAACAATTCCATTACTACACTGCTATCTTACAGGCATACCAAACACAACTGAACAAGCACAAGGATGTTCCTACTAGCACTGTTTAAAATAGCAGAAGTATGACCCAATACTGTATTGGTTAAATTTATTACGGCACATACAACTGTTGAAAAAACAGTTACTGTCTATTGATATGGGAAAACAAAATACAATATAATTGAAAAAGCCAAGTTGCATTAGAGATATATAGGTAATCCTATATGTACTTTAAAAAGTATATGCTTGCATTTATTTATACATAGTCAAATAAAATGACTGGACAGATAAACCAGCTGTTAGAAATATTTATGTCTGCAATACAGGCAAAGAGAGAGTATGACAAATACAGGTCTTTTTTTATACTTCATACTGTCATTTATTTGAAAATGAGTCATGTTTTACTTTTTTTTTTTTT